TTGAAATGAGAGATTTGTTAAGGGGAAGGGAAATGGTGTTTTCTTTCTTTCTTTTTTATTATTTTTATTTTTGTATAATTAAAGTGTTTTAAGATAAGTTATTATGCACTTTAAAGGAGTAATTAGAACCAACGACTTGTTGATCTAAGTGGAAGAAATTTGATTTCCCTTAAGTAAAATTTTGAATTTAAGTTTTGTAAATTGAGAAATAGGCATTGAGAAAGTTTCCCTTTAATGGGATCCAATATGATTCAATTCTAAATTAGTCGAAATCCAATGTAATTACTAGATACCGAGAAATTAATACAAAAAGAAAAAGAAACAGAAAAAAGTGTTTAGATTAGCAATTTAGATAATTATTAAGGGAAAGGGAAATGGTTTTTTTTTTTTTTAATTAAAGTGTTTTCAAGTAAGCTATTATGCATTTTAAAGGAGTGTTTAAATTAAAATTTTAAATAAATATAATATCTGACAATTAATATTTAATGTTAGTAATTATTGTTATTTAAAATCTAAAATATTTAATTTATTTAATTAAATTTAATAATTAATAACTATTTTCAAAACGATAATCCAAACACCTACAAAAATGGTAACGTTAAAGGTTGGGAGACAAATAATTAGGTCAGGAATCATCCTTATTATTCCCAGCCATTAGAAAAAAGCAAATAGACAGTGGGAATATTGGTTACAGGCGTCCTACATTAGTACATTGAGTGATAATTGAAGCGATCATAAAATTTCCACTTGTTTCGATGGGCTTAACTCGTATATGCAGCAGTACTATATACAGCAAATTTTTCGTAATATTTTTTTTATAAAGTTTTTCAAATAAGAAATATATTTACCCCAAAAAATATAAAAATAAAAGCATAACCTAACAATTTTGGGCCCAAGATTGCATCAACAACGGGCCTGATATCGGTAATTTGGGCCAGAACTCAAAGAAATAAAACGGAAATAGTTGCGGACCTTGCGTTGTGGAGGTAGGCCCAACACGAACAGTCAAGGCATTGGAAGTCGTCTTAACCGTCCATCAACAGTAATTAGTACGTAAGACATATAAAAATGGCGAAGGAAGAAGTCGAAGGCAACAACGTCTTTGTTCTTCGTAGTCTGTCATCGTCAGTGGTAACGTTTCCTGGAAACGAGAAAACCTCGACATCCACGGAGCCGCCAATGAAGATGGTATAAGGAACATCATCATCAGACCTGAACAACTTACACTTCAGGCTGAGAAATCAGGAGACTCAATCCCCCTTGATATATTCTTCAACGTAAACACACACCAAACTGACCAAAGCCTCTTTAAATTACGAAACCGAAAGGAACAAAGGCTGGCCTAGAAGAAGCCACTTACATTGCGGACATAACAACATATCAAAGCTCCATCCCCTCTATAAATACCTTTCGCCTTCTAATTTATTTCTCTAAGCTAGCTACTAAACTTGTCTGTGGTAAGTAGTAACCGTGGAGAGAAAGATTTGGGTGGCAATGGCTCACAAAAGGCTGCTATTTCTTCTGTGCGCGTTGGTTTTTTGCAGCATTATTGTTGAATGGATGCAATTCGGATGAAAGGAAGGTGAAATTCATTACCTTAAGTGGAAAAATTTTACCTAAAAAAAATTAAAAAAAGTATTACTTAAATATAAGATAAAATTACTCCATCTATTGTTAATTGGTTTTTTTAATTAGATGAATACTTGTGTTTTATTGCCATTAATGTATTTCGTGTGTCTTTTATCTACGGTGCATTGGTAAAGAGGATCTAATTTATATGTTCCATGCCACTAGGTTCATATTGTGTTCATAGGAGAAAGGCCTGAGGCGGAGTTTTCCGCAGCTTCAACTTATCACTCCCTGCTCAAAACTGTCCTTGGAAGGTTAATTCTCTAATTATTCATTCAAAAACACTAGTGTGACTAAATCAATATGAATTTAGCATCTTTGAAGAGTGTATACAATTTTATTTTATTTTATTTTATTTTTACTATGTATGATTCATATGAAAAACCTTCCGTTCTGTTTCTGATTTAGGGCATAAATAAATGTCTTTGGCCGCAGCTCTGCAACAGCCAGAGAGTCTCTGGTCTACAATTATGGAAGCTTCAATGGGTTTGCTGCTCGATTAACTGATATAGAAGTTCAAATATTCTCTGGGAAATAAGATCAATCATAGCAAAACTAATTAAAGTCATAAGCAGAGAAGTAGTGTAAGACCAGTAATTAAATTTCAAGACCATTAATTGTCCATTCTAATATGTACAACTGAAATGTGCAGAGATGGAAGAAGTAATTTCTACGTTTCCAAACCATATACTAAAGCTTCATATTACTCGGTCATGGAACTTCCTAGGTTCTACAAAAGGCAGTGTTGGAGGAACCCTAGAAGGAGAAGTCATCGTTGGAATGTTAGATACAGGCAAATGCATTATTCCCATGTATACTCAAGTGTTATGTAAACCTTCGGAATAGATACTATTTTTAATGGGGTGAGCCTGAGTTTAACTTTAAAATCCCTGTTTTCAGGAATTTAGCTAGAACACAAGAGCTTGGATGACACGAGACTTGGTGCTCCACCTTCGCAATGGAAAGGAACATGCCACGGCGCCAACTTCACTCGCAACAAGTAAGCTCATCTCTGCTCCTTCTTGTTTGTATTTCAGGTTTAATCAGAAACTAATGGAATGCAAATCCATTTGGCACAACCACAGCAAGATCATTGGAGCTCATTACTACAAGTCTACAACAGTGAGGAACTGATCGAACAACCCGACCTATTTCATTCTGGACCTTTTCTATATACAGTTTCCAACTACGCACCTTGGCTCTTAACCGTTGCTGCAAATATAATTGACAGGAAATTCGTCGCCGAAGCTGTTCTTGGAAACGGAATAGTCCTCAATGTGAGTAGAAGGGCAGCAAATTTGAATGATTCTCTTTTTTCTCTCCATTACTAATTCCACTATGTTCATTCATGAAGGGACTTTCAATTAACGACTTCAATCTCAGTGGGAATTCACATCCCTTGATTTGGGGTGAGGATCCTCCAAACGTTTCAGCTGTGGATACGATTCTTCCATTTCCAGATATTGTATTCCTGGTTCATTGAACTGGTTCAAAGTAGTGGCCGCCTATGTTAAGGCAAAGTATCCCAACTGGTCTCCTGCAGCCATTAAGTCTACCCTCATGACCAGAGGTACTCAGAAATATCTATTTCCTAACTGACATTTAATGTTTAATTTTCTGCGAATCTTCAAATGACAGAACGAAATTTCTGATTAACAGCGACTGTGATGGACTGGAGGGGGCAGGATGACTTAGAATTCGCGTATGGGTCTGGTCAACTCAATCCGGAACAGGGCACTCCGACCTGGACTTGTCTATGATGCAGACGAAACAGATTACATTAACTTCCTCTGTAAACAGGGTTACAACACCACAACTGTTCGACTCATTACTGGAGATAACAGCACGTATGCAACAGCACTGAGCCTGGAAGAGCTTGAGACCTTAACTACCCTTCATTCTCCCTAGCTTGGAAGACGGTCAAAATATCAACGGGGTATTTACCAGTACAGTAACCAATGTGGGCTCATCCAACTCCACCTACACCACGTTTTTCTACTCCCCTGCTGAATTTACCATCACGGTAGAGCCTTCGGTTTTGTCATTCTCTTGAGTTGGTGAGAAGCAATCATTTTCCGTGAAGATCAGCGGTCCGATAAGCTATCAGCAGCCAATCATGTCAGATGCAATTGTATGGCATGGAGTTCATCAGGTGAGAAGCCCTGTGGTGGTGTACACGGTTCTCCTTGGTTCCATCTACTCTTCATACTACTCTAAGCCCAAAAGAAACCCACTTTCTGTTGAGAAGAACGGGGTGTCACCTAAGCATAGCAGAAAAAAAAGCAACACCAAAATCTTCTCCAATATATTTGAAATTGTTAGGAGCAAGCTAAATTGAGTCCAAATAAATTATGGCAGTAGCTAAAAATATGCAGAACAGTAAAAATAGCCAAAGCAAAACAACCACACAAGAGACACTATTTTACGTGGAAAACCCCAAAAATGGGTACAAACCACAGGACATCCAATCCACTCAAAATAGCTCCATTATGATAAAAGTAAGTACACAATATCCTCTTCTAAAGGGCACAAAAACATCACCAAATAAGAGGAACAATAGGTCACAAACCAACAAAGTAAAAAAGGGACCACAAGAAAACAGAGCACCAAAATACGAGCTACTGTTCAAGGCACAAGAACTGAACCTACAGAGCTCCAAACAAAAAAATTGACCGTTCAAATTGTGGATCAAAGTCTTGTAAACCCCTAGACCAAATTTCAACTCAATCCAACAGTGAACTTTTGCAGATCGGACAAAGTTGCAAAACTATGCACTGTACCAATCTACAGAACTCTCCCCTGCTTTCTTTTCCCTTTTTTGCCAGTTGGTCCCTTACGTGTTCTCCAATTTCTGTTGTCCAAATCAAACTCCTTTCTTTGTCTTAAAGGGCTGCAAAATGTGGCCTCAAGTGGGCTTAACAAGTGTGGGCTTAGTCCACAAATATTGGCCATTTCTCCACATAGGAGGGATAGGCCTAGCCCAACAATTCTCCCCCTCCCGACTATGTGGAGGGGATCACCATTCCAGTGATCAAACAACATGCCTCAAACTTTTCTCTTGGCAAAGCTTTGGTCATCATATCCGACCCATTCTCATCAGTGTGAATTTTTTGAAGTTTAAGCACCTTAGAATCTAGGACATCTCTAATCCAATGGTATCTAACATCAATATGCTTTGACCTACCATGGAATGTAGAGTTCTTACTTAAATGAACTGCACTTTGGCTATCACAATAAACTACATACCTCTTTTGAGCAAGCCCAAGTTCCTGACTAAATCTCTTCATCCAAAGCAACTCTTTGCAAGCTTCAACAGTTGCTGTAAACTCTGCTTTAGTGGTAGAAAGTGCAACACATCTTTGTAACCTTGACTACCAAGACCCAGCTCCCCTTGCAAAGGTAATTAGATAACCCAAAGTAGATTTCCTTGTATCAATATCCTTAGCCATGTCTGAGTCAGTATATCCTACAAGAATAGGCTCTCTTATTCCAAAACAAAGACTCAAACTAGAAGTGCTCCGAAGATATCTCATAATCCACTTCACTGCATTCCAATGTTCTCTCCCTGGATTTGAAAGAAAACAGCTAACTAAACCCACTGCATGAGCAATATCTGGTCTTGTACAAACCATTGCATACATTAAACTACCCACTGCAAATGCATAAAGAACCCTCTGCACATCTTCGTTCTCATCATTATTAGAAGGACACTAATTCTTGCCCAATTTGAAGTGCATAGCTAAAAGAGTACTAACCACCTTAGCGTTGTCCATTTCAAACCTTTGAAGTACTCTTGCGATGTACTTATCTTGTGATAACCACAACTTCCTGAATGCCCTATCACAATTGATCATCATGCCAAGAATTTGTTTTGCTGGTCCTAAGTCTTTCATAGCAAAAGACTTGTTCAATTCTTGCCTCAACTTCTTGATCCTAGAAGCATTTTGACCAACAATAAGCATGTCATCAACATAAAGCAACAAAATGATAAAGTTATTAGCAGAAAATATCTTTACAAAGACACAATGGTCTGAAGAAGTCCTTTTGTATCCATATTGTCTCATAACCGATTCAAACTTCATGTACCACTATCTGGAAGCTTGTTTTAGGTCATACAACCTCTTTTTCAATCTGCACACAAATTCCTCCTTGCCTTTGACTTTAAAACTTTCTGGTTGCTCCATATAAATCTCCTCATCTAAATCACCATGGAGAAAAGTAGTCTTCACATCCATTTGTTCAACCTCCAAATCAACACGTGTTGGTAAACCAAACACAACTCTGATTGAAGACATTCTAACAATCGGAGAAAAGATCTCACTAAAATCAACACCCTTTCTTTGACTAAAGCCCTTAACAACAAGTCTAGCTTTGTATCGTGGAACCAAGGTGCCATCTTCATGTTTCACCCTATAAACCCACCGATTCTTCAAAGCTTTCCTGTCTTTTGGCAACTTAACCAAATCAAAGGTATGATTATCAAGCAAAGATTTCATCTCATCTTTCATGGCTTCAAGCCACTCCATTTTCTGCTCCCTTTCCATGGCTTCTTGATAACTTTCAGGTTCTCCCCCGTCAGTGAAAAGTACATACTCACTAGAAGGATAACGAAATGAGGGTCTCCTTTCCTTGCTAGATCTTCTGAGTGGATCTACTGGGACCTCTACAGGAACATCCTGTTGATCATTTACTACTTCATTTAAAGGAGCAGCAAGATCATTTGCATCTACATGACCATCATGGATGTCATCTTGGACTTTATCATTTTGAAAATGATTTTCAACTGCATTTGGCACCATAGTCTCAACAGCTGGCCTAGAATCAACCAAACTCTCATTGCTTTGAAGACTTGTCTTCTATGCCTTGTCAATATCTTCAATAGTTTGGTCCTCAAAGAATACTACATCATGGTTTCTGACTAGTTTCTTTTCAACTAGATCATACAATCGGTAGCAAAATTCATCTTGACCATAACCAATGAAGATACACTGCCTGGTTTTAGCATCCAACTTTGACCTCTCGTCCTTGGAGACATGCACAAATGCTTTACATCCAAAAACCCGCAAGTGATCATAAGAAACATCCTTACCACACCAAACTCTATCAGGAACATCATTATCCAAAGCAATAGTGGGAGACAAATTAGTAACATGCGCCACTGTATTAAGAGCTTCTACCCAAAAAGTTCTAGGCAATTTAGCTTTAGCAAGCAAACATCTAACTCTCTCCATCAAAGTTTTGTTCATCCTTTCGGCTAAGCCATTCAACTGAGGAGTCTTGGGAGGAGTTTTTTGATGCCTAATACCTTGCTCCTTGCAATAGTTATCAAACAGTTCAGAATATTCACCACCATTGTCTGTACGAATGCACTTCAATTTCTTGCCTATTTGTCTTTCAACCAAGGCTTGAAATTGCTTAAATACATCAAGAACCTGATCTTTGGTCTTTAAAGGATAAACCTAGAGCTTCCTTGAATGATCATCAATAAAGGTGACAAAATAAAGTGCACTACCATGTGAGCTCACCTTCAAAGGTCCACACACATCAAAATGCACAAGCTCTAGCAAATCTGGCTTTCTTAAAGGAGGATGGTTTTTGAAAGAAACTCTTTTTTGTCTCCCAGCCAAGCAATGAACACATTGTTCCAACTTTGCTTCCTTTAATCCAAAAAGCACATCCTTCTTGGCCAAACAATCTATCCCCTTTACATTCATATGGCTAAGCCTCTTGTGTCATAACACTGATGATTCATCTTTCTCAACTACATTAATAGAGTCATCAGCAATGGAACTCTGCATCAAATACAAGTTGGAAGACTTGGAGCCTCGAGCTACAACAAGGGAACCTTTAGTGAGTTTCCACTGCCCATCACTAAAAAAACTGCAATAACCAGCATCATCCAGCTTTTCCCCAGAAATTAAATTGAGTCGGATATCAAGTGCATGCTTGACATCCTTAAGGGCCAACTTTGTGCCATTGTTGGTTTGCAAGCAAACTGTTCCCATATCAATCACCTTAATTTGGCCATCATCACCCATCTTCAATACCCCAAAATCACTAGAAGTATAAGATGTGAAAAATTCCTTCCTAGGAGTAACATGGTATGCAACATTAGAATCCACAACCTAGCTTGTCTCATGAGATGCAAAATTGATGACATTTTCATCAACAACAAAAAGATGATCTCCATTAATGGCAACTGCAACATGGTTCTCATTATCGTCGTCTTTCTTCTTCCCCTACCTCATCTCCTTTTTAAATTGAAAACAGTATTTCTTGAGATGTCCCTTTTTACCACAATGGTGACATTCAAATTTTTATGCTTTGGCCTTGACTTGCTTCTACTTTTATCTCTGCCTCCTTGACCTTTATTTTTGCTTCTCTCCTTATCTTCAATGACTAGAACATCTAACTGTGAGGTTGAAGAAGATGCAACTTGATTAATTCTTCTCACCTCTTCATTCAAGACACCAGTCTTAGCATATTCCATGGTCATAGCACCATTAGGAGCAGCATTGGTTCATGAAACTCGAAAAGTTTCCCATGAATCAGGCAAAGTATTAAGCAGCCAAAGTCCCTGAATCTCATCATCAAATCTACCACCCATATTAGACAAGCAATCAAGGATGCCTTGAAAATAACTAACATGATCTAAAATAGAACTTCCTTCTTTGTACTTCAAGTTTATCAACTACTTTACCTGGAACAACTTGTTATTGCCAGTTTTCAAAGCATAAAGTGTCTCAAGTTTTTCCCACATAGTCCTTGCATGTGTCTCATTTGCAATGTGATTTAAGACATTGTCTTCTACCCACTGTCTTATGTAGCCACAACTTTGTTGGTGCTCAAAAGTCCACTCTTCATCAATCAAAGAATCTGGTTTTTGAGTCTCGAACACTAGCAAATGCATCTTTTTCACAAATAGGAGGTATTTCATTTTAACTCTCCATTTTTTATAATATGCGTCATTCAAGCAAATCATTTTACTCGTATTAGCCTTCATAATTCAAATAGATATCTGAAAACAACAAGCCAAATGCTTTGATACTAATGTGTTGGGAAGAATGAGGTGTCACCTGAGCACAGCGGAAACAAAAGCAACACCAAAATCTTCCCTAGTCTATTTGAAATTGTTAGGAGCAAGCTAAATTGAGTCCAAATAAGTTATGGCAGTAGCTAAAAATATGTAGAACAGTAAAAATAGCCAAGGCAAAGTAACCACACAAGAGACAATATTTTGCATGGAAAACCCCAAAGATGGGTACAAGCCATGGTACATCCAATCCACTCAAAATATCTCCACTATGATAAAAGTGAGTACACAATATTCTCTTCTAAAGGGCACAAAAATAGCAGCAAATAAGAGGAACAATAGGTCACAAACCAACAAAGTAAAAAAGGGATCATAGGAAAACAGAGCACCAAAATACGAGGTACTGTTCAAGGCACAAGAACTGAACTTATAGAGCTCCAAACAAAAAACTGACCATTCAGATTGTAGATCAAAGTCTTGTAAACCCCCAGACCAAATTTCAGCTTAATCCAACAATGAACTTTTGCTAATCAGACAAAGTTGCAAAATTGTGCACTATACCAATTTGCAGAATTCTCCCCTGCTTTCTTTTCCTTTTTTGGTCGGTCGGTCCCTCACGTGTTCTCCACTTTCTGCTGTCCAAATCAGACTCCTTTCTTTGTCTTAAAGGGCTGCAAAATATGGCTTCAAGTGGGCTTAACAAGTGTGGGCTTATTCCACAAATATTGGTCATTTATCCACATAGGAGGGATAGGCCTAACCCAACACTTTCGTAGGCCCTTCCGTGTATCACAAGAATGGAATCCTTAGAAGCAACTAAAATTTCAATCTTTCTTCTACCCATAAGAAATAGTTATTCCTTTCTATAGTCGCACATGTTTATGTGCACTTTCCCATTCAAAGATTGAAATAAAACTGCAATTTTCACTTTTATTATCTCTTTTCTCTTTGCATCTACCTCTCTGCTCTTTGTATCTAAAGGAACCTCTTGCATTCATCACTGTATCTCTTCTACAAACAAAGAAAGAAAAGAAACCCTTATCAAATTTCATCAAGATAATTAATAATTTAAAAGAAAAAGTTAAAAATTCTTCAGAAAATTGAAATACCAATCAGATTAGGGTTACTTTCTTGTGTCTTTTTCATGGTGAAAGAGGGAGTTTTCCTTTTTCCCAAGTGCGAACCACCGTGTGTGAATATGACTTCGATGACCCAAAACTCCAGAGCAATTCTTGGCTTCGGCGACCGAAGCCTCAGATATCAATGCCTCATGCGTTGAATTTTAATTTTTCTGAGAATGCACCCACCAGCATTTCCCACTTTCGCCACGTCGGATCATAGGGATTTGGTTAACGTAGGAAGGAAGGAAGGAGGTAAAAGTTATCATCCACATTCCACAGTAGCGTTGCGGCCCACCAATAAAATGCTTTATGTACATTATCTGGTTTTTTGGTTCTGTGTAATTATTATATTGGCATGGGTCATCGTTGAATCTTCAAAAAGTTTCAAAAATATGTACTACATTGGATTCATATCATTGATGCAAAATGGCAAGCCTTCGTATGGGCATTTAAGATCAAGATGTATTTCACTTCAAAACGTAAAAAATATGCAGTGCTCATGTTGATATGTGTACGGTAAATGACTAAAAATTTTCAATGCTGAAAAAGTGTTCGATAAAATATGTAAGAGAAATGTACTCCCACGTACCATTAGATGTACTCTTATAGGGGATTTTTTTTATTTCTTGCTTTTGGGTAAGGAGCCTTAGAGCCTGTTTGGTGCAGATTATAAGAAGAGCTTTTTGACTCTAAAAACACAAATTGCACCAAACGAATTAGCCTCCCAAACTTGCTGCAGCTTTTGAGAAGCTCAGCTTCTCGCCATTCCTTTGCAAAGCTCGGAAGCTCCAATTTCTTATTTCCGCAGGAGCTTCTCACTCCATGTTTAATGAAATTGACAGTCTTCCCATTTTATCCTCACACTTCCTTTTATTTACGAAAAAACTAGTATATAAAGAACCAATTCATAACATCACACCGACCAACCCGGGCACAGTTGTTTCTTCTTCCTCATCCAATCAGAGAAACAAACCAAAAATATCCAATCAAAGAAACAAACCAAAAATACTTACCGTATTCTTTCTCATTTTCTTTTCCCTCTAAACCAAAAATTCCCTCATCTTCCATTCAGAGACGAACCCAGGAGCTGGGTTCGTAGCAAACCCCGCACTTGAGTTCCAAGACAAACCCAGCGCCTGGGTTAGCAACGAACCCGGCACGGGGTTCATCGCAAACCCCTCCTCCCCTGTGTTTCGAGACGAACCCAAGCACGGGGTTCGGTTCATGCAAACCCAAAGGTAAAAAAAATAAAAGAAGAAAAAACAGCAGAGGAATGGGAGAATAATAAACTTTATAATATTTATATTAATAATTATATAATTAAATGATTTTAAGGTTATATGAATAAAAAATATAACATATTATTAATTTTTATCATATAAATATTTCATGTAATTTAAGTAAAAATAAATAAATTTTTTCTTAATTAATATATTCCATTAAAACTTAACGAAAAATA